AGCGCCGTGGCCCCGCCCCGCTGCTCAGCGCCGCCAATCACGGGCCGCGTGCCACATCGCGCATGCGTGCTCTGGCAGAGCGGCTTCGTGGAGACCCGCCCCTCCGGCATTCGATTAGCGCGCTCAGGCGCTCGCCTCCTCCGGCGGGACCAATGAGCGGAGCGCGGGGTTCCTGGTATTCGCAGTGGTTGGTCCGCTCTCAGCGAGGGTTCGCGCCTCTGTTCCCGCGCGGCCGCGTCGGCCCCGAGAGTTCCGCCCCTTGCTGCCCAGGCTTCCGCGCGGTTACGGGCCGCCCCACTTTGCATCTTCTCCGTCCGCCACGAGGTGCAGGACGCGGGTTTCTGTCCGCGGAACCTCCCGGCCTGCAGAGTCAGTGCCTGGGGACGGGGGCAGGAGGCTGGCTGCAGCCACTGCGCTAGCCCCCGGGCTCCCGCGACCGCACTAGTCTTCGACCCGGGGAACAGGGCCCCGACCCTCTTGCTCTAGGCAAGTTCTGAGTCTGCGCACCCCACAAGTTGCAGGCCACCTGCCGGGCCCTTGGACTCCCTCCCGTACCCCAGATTCTCATGTGACCTCTTCTGCACCTGCCAAGATGTCTTCTTGCGCGCTGAACCAAAAGGCCAAAGGCCAGAAGCAGCCAGAATTACCAGTTCAGTGAGGCCTAAAACCAGGACCGCGACCCTACTCAAAAGAGTTGCAGGGACAGGAAGCCACTGAGGGCCTCCGAACCGTGCCCTTTCTCTCCCCAGGCACGTGTGACCAGCCAGCAGCTCCTGGATGGCTCCACATACTAGAATATGTGAGCCCCCGACCTGCCGTGGGGTGCGTGGGTCGAGAACGCTGGTGAGGGTGCTGTTAAGTGATGGAGTAATAGCGCCCAGTGCCAAGTGGCCAGAGGGAGGGTGCAGTTTAGGGGTCCTCTCCTGAGAGGAGCACAAGGATTGAAGTCTTCCCGATAGGTGGCAGGCAGACAGGCGCGGTGGGAACAGAAGGCTAAGGGGCCTCTCTTGCTGACCCCCCCTGAGACCACTGTGGCCCTACCTGGCTTAATCGATAGGATGTGCTACACTGCTCAACCAACAGCCTGCTCTCTGCGAGAGAAACCATCCCGAAGGCTCCTCCATGCTGAGAAGAACACAAGTTCTTGGGGAACTTATGTGGCCTTTATATCAACCACAGATTCCAGAACCCAGGGGAACAGGATAATGAAAAACAAACTTCCCCACCATAAATCTATAACAAATGGTTCCAATTAGAACTGGCCAGTGGGGGCCGAGGTGAACCAGAGATGCCTTCGATTTTAGTATAATAGTAAAATCTCTCCTCGGTGGTTAGACCATGTGCAGTAGGGATGTGGGAGTCTGATGTCATCCTACTGTCGGTCAAATTGAAGAGGTTAACCTGGGTGAAACTTAGAAACTCCCGATTCACCCCCCCATATCTCACTCTCTAAAAAAAAAAAAAAAAAAAAAAAAAAAACGGGGACAGGAGAGAGCATCAGTCCCTCTCCTCTCTGAGAGGACTCACTCTACCTTGAAAATGTCCCCTTTCCCCTTTGCTTCTAATAAACCCACGCCTGCTACCATGTGCAGCTGCCAGGGACCAAAAGGGAGTTCTCCTTCAAAGAATAGCCTGACAGTTACAAGAAACAGGCCCCTGGGAGACATCTCGCCTTGGAGACACCCTGCAGCCATCCATCTCCCTGAGACATCCTGCGGCCATCTGTCTTCCTGAAACATCCTGCGCTATCTCACCTTATGAAGACTTCCAGCAACTGCTGATAAGAGAGCTCCCCCATCCCCAGCCCATAAATACCCCTGTGTGAACAATAAAAGTTTGCAGCTTGATCAGAACTTTTGTCTTGCTGTCACCCTTCGTGTCTCTTGTCCCTTCATTCCTCCCCATCCAAGTTCGCTGCCCACGTTGATGTGTCCTGCCAGTCGGAACATGCAGCCTATTTAGAATTCTTCAGAGCTTTTGTTCACAGCCCTAGTTGCTTCAGGTCTTGGGTGGATCTTACTTAGTAATATTTCCACACACATTGTAAATGGTTTTTCTAAAAATATTTTTAGTTTTAGATAGATGTAATATTTTATCTTTATTTTATTTACTTATTTTTGTGCGGTGCTGAGGATCAAACAGTGCCTGATATGTGAGGGGCAAGTACTCCACCACTGAGCTACAACCCCAGCCCCAAAGTGGTTTTTTAAAAAACCACATGGGGGCTGGGGATGTGGCTCAAGCGGTAGCGCACTTGCCTGGCATGCGTGCGGCCTGGGTTCGATCCTCACCACCACATACAAAGATGTTGTGTCTGCCAAATACTAAAAAATAAGTATTAAAATTCTCTCTCTCTCTCCCTCTCTCTCACTCTTTAAAAAAAAATAAAAATAAAAAACCACACGGTCGAGCATCCCTGAGTTCAATCCTAGGTACCCAAAAAAATAAAAGACCGTGATATACTTTCGCCTCAATCTTTCTGTGAATCTAAAATTGCTCTAAAAAATGAACTATTAATATTTTTGAAGTAATGTGGCTTGGTTATAAATTCATCATCTGTGTGGGAATCGGAAATTTTATGAAATCGTCTCTCTTAGCTTCGGGCTTCACTGGAACCCGTGTGTCCACAGGTGGTAACGCCAGGCTTTTCCTCACAGCCACAGTTCTGACAAGCAGTGAGATGCTCTGGTGTGGTCAGCCCAGGGGAAGCTGTACTGCTTTCTCCCAGCTGTTCTCTGCACATGTCAGTTGCCACTGGAGATGGCCAGGCTGGACCCACCTACAGCTATGGGCACCAGACTCAGTGATGCTCATGCCATTAGTATTAAAAGGAGGCAAGTCCCCTCAGAGCCTGTCCAGAAAGACATGCCCTCTGAAAGGATGGAATGGGGTCAGGGATGCACTGCACACTTTGCCTGTTGATACCCTCCACGTGAGACACCTGTGCCTGTGCCAGGTGAGTCTTGGGATGGACCAGCTCTCCAAACGACCGCAACCCTAGGACCTGGTGCAGGCCCCACCCTTCTGAAATATTCCTTCATATAAACCCCATTGTCTAATTGCATTCAACACATTGCCCATCTGTCCTTGGTGACAGGACAGTGTGTTTCTTTATTCCGTTCCCCTATTCCCATGCCCTCACTTGAGTACGTTTGGTGAGGAGGGCCAGGTGCTGTTTGCTCCCTCTCAGATAACAAACTAATTAATGAAACTGTCTCCTACCCTTTATGCACTGGGAGACGCCACCTTGCTGACAAGCTTGGCCTTCAGTCTCAGCAGGTCCTGCAGCTCCAAGGGACCACAGTGTAAACAAACTTCAGGAATCCCTGGAAACCCAGCGAGGAGAGCATTCCTCCCAGTCAGATCACAGCTCTCCAGTAGCAAGCGGAGTCTCCAGGTTCCCACATGTGGAATTGGACTGTTTGCACAAACACTGGGTGAAGTGGGTTTGTTAGGAAGGGGGCTAGAAAGACTGCAGGATCAGACTTTGTAAGAACATCCAGGAACCCACATTTGTCCTGAACCTGTCCATGGGTTTCAGTATCGGAAGCACTGGGGGCACACCTGTATACCAGCATTTTGGAGGCTGAGGAAGGAAGGTTGCTTGAGCCTGGACAAGTGTTCTGCAGTGGCTCAGACCTGGGAGGCATTCAGCATCCTGGCAGGTGAGGGAAGATGTGAGGGCAGTTGGGAGAGCAGACCTGCTTTATTAGGAGGCAGCAACCCCTTGGGCCTTTCCATAGGCCTTTTTTATGTTCAGGCTAAACAAAGAAGGCCCAGTATCAACAGGTATATAAATGGGCACATGCTAACAAGCAGATATTTATGAGTTTGAGTGTCTGAATCAGGGTATTCATGGCCTTGACTACATGCTAAAATGTAGCTAACAGGGAGTCTCTACAAGGGACCCTAGCTGTAGCCATCTTAGGCCTGCCTTACAACGATAGCAAGACCAACTGTAAAAAATAAATACACAAGTAAACTTTCGAAACCTGCATAACAACCCATACCTACAGGAAGATGCTGTGGATGTCACAGGGATTAACTCCTAGCTACTCTGAGCTACTTGAGTGTATTACCTAGTCTCGTGTACACTCAGACCACCCATTTGAATGTCTCCTAACGCTCCCAGCATTAGGAATGCTGTGGACATGCACTGGCATCTCAACTGTGGGCCCAGGTCTTCTGGTACCAGGGGTGTCAGAGAGAACCCCAAGACATCACCCTATGGGGTGCAAGGCAGATGGTACCCCCAGGAGGGTGAGGTCCTACCCCTCTACAGCAAAGATGTATTGGGGTAGACACAGGTGTCAAGCCTGTAGCTCCAGGGCCAGCAGGTTACAGCTGCTCCAGCAGATACCATCACAGGAGTTGCTTTGGGGCCTGATTTGATGAGATGGCCACCTCTGCCCTAAGTCCTCCCATGTCCAGCAGAGGTTCTCAAGGGGATGCCAATCAGAACAGGTCATGCTACCTATGAACCCATGGATGCTGAAGTGCAGGGGCAAACCCAGAGGCTCTGAGGCCATGTCAGAGATCTGATGCAGTTTCTGAGGTGGGTGATGTTGCAGGGATACTGGCCCTGCCCAGGGCACTCCTCAAGTCCACAGGGCTGACCCAGCTGCTCCCGTGGCCTGATTTCACACCTGTGTTTTACTCTCTCCTCAAGCCAGCTCATCTGTCAGTCTGGAGTTTGGAGCTCCTGGTTCATGGCCTCCTTACCTGCCACGTGCAAACCACCCTCCACCCATGCTTGGCCCCTTCCTGGGCTAGGTCACTACAGAGCTTTCGCCACCCACAGGGATGGCCCCCTGCTGGGCAACGTGATGACCACTTGCTTGTGTGGGGGGTGCTTCCCAGCACAAGCCCCTCCTGTCCTGCCCCTTCTGCAGCCCAGAGATTCCTGAAGTCCTCAGATGGCCCCAGCCACTGTCTCCAGGAGTCCAGCTGGGCTCACTTCTTACTCTGAGGGTCTGTGGAAGGGGTGCGCTGTCTGCCCCAGGGGGCCACAGAAATGAAGGGGTGACCTCCCTCCTCTGTTCCTCCAGGCTGTCTGAGGGAGGGGATGCTAGAAGGGGGTGAGAATTCTGTCCCTCTGGTCCCAGGGCTGCCCCTCTGTCTTCCAGTCAGCGCTGCCTAGCCACGCCTGCCAACCTGTGTTTACAGGTGACTCTGTTGGGGAATACAAAACCTGGGAAGGAAACCTGGCAACAAGGGCCTCTCTGTCCTCCAAGCCGGCAACTGCCACACCACCCCAGGGCTGGCTCCGGACACAGCAGTCCAGGGGTGTGGGGTCGTTCTGCATGTTCTCCTCTCATCCTGAAGCCAGCCTCCAGGAGGTGGACCAGCCCACTTCAGGGAAGCCCTGCCACAACGCCAGGTGGCCCTGCTGCAGATATCTGAGGACCAGCTACAGAGTGTGGGCTGCGGCCTCCTGCCCTCCACAGTCACCTCACTCGTCCCCATGATGCTGGACTCATCAGTGGCAGACCAGATCACCCGCCTGACACTGAGTCTCTTGGAGCAGGTAGGACTGAGCCAGGCCACTGCCACACTGACCCCAGAGGAGGCAGCCCAGCACTGGGCTCCAACGACAGAAGACAAGACGCTGCTCCCAGAGTCTCTGCCTCTGCCTTCTATCTGGGCACATTCCTGCTTTCAAAGCAAACCCTTCCCGTGGGTTTTGGGCCTCATGAATCTATTTCTTGACTTCTTAGCACTGACGCAGAACCATTTAGTTCTCCAGTAAGGAGACCAGCACCTACCAACAGAGCGCCCCCAGGGAAGGGCCCGTTTTGAGACCGTGCCTGGCTGGTGCCCCCAGACATAAGGCCTCAGCACTGAGCCTATCAGGCCCCATCTTCTTCCCTTCTAATCCCTCTCCAGGTCACTGAGCACTGGCCCACAGGGACCTTTGTGCCCATGGTGGCCCCTCCGTGCCTTCTGCCTGCTTTGTTCCTCACCTGTACCTCCCTCTCACCAATTCTGCATCGTCAGTGTAGGGTCCTGGAGGTGGCAATCAGGGTAGTCACTGGCCAGGCCACAGGGGTCTCACCAGGATAGTCTCTACAAGGCCCACTCCTCAGAAGAGTGCCTGAAGGGCCTATCAGAGGGTTCCCCTGGGATTGCTGATTTTTTTTTGGGGGGGTGGTTACCGGGTATTGAACTCAGGGGCACTCGACCACTGAGCCACATCCCCAGCCCTATTTTGTATTTTATTTAGAGACAGGGTCTCTCAGAGTTGTTTCGTGCCTCGCTTTTGCTGAGGCTGGCTTTGAACTCTTGATCCTCCTGTCTCAGCCTCTGGAGCCTCTGGGATTATAGGTGTGCACCACGACACCCAGCATCCCCCTGGTTTTAATGAGGAGTAGGTGCATTGACTTGAATGCATGACCAGCATGGCCCCTGTCCACCCACTTCACCCTCTTCCGGCCCCCAACACCTCCGTCTGGGTGATGGGCACTCCCAGAACTCACGGATGGCACCTAGGCAAGCACGCTAACCAACCCAGGGCCAGCGTCACCACCAGCCTCTGTTCCTCACAGAAGCTGGAGCAAGAGCGAGAGAACATGGAAGGGGACTCAGAAGGCTCTTCCTTGGTGCCAGGTAAGAGCCCTGGGCTGCTCCCAGCTACCCAGACTAGCACAGGAGCAGACGGGGAGGGCGATAGGGGCAGCACCCAGCAGCCACCCTTTTCTTCAGTACTCTCACTTCACACCAGAGTTGAAAGGACTCTGCTTTCCCCTGTAACACAGCATCCTCCACCTTTAGCCTGCAGGTCCCAGGCGGTAGTGCACACTCCCATCCCACCGATGGGTTGGGCAGCCTGCCCCGAAGGCTCAGCTCTGAGGTGTCCCACAGGCCAGACCCTCATGGCTCTGATCCCAGACCCCTGCACTTGTCCAAATGGGGGTGTCCTCACTGGACAGAATCCAGGTTGAAGGACACCTGAGGGAGGGGCTGAGGAGGAGTGGGTCTTGTTCTTTGGAACACGGAACAAACAGCCATGCTTGTGGGCTCCAGGACCCAGAGGGCGACTGGCCCAACCTGAGCCCAAGGCCAGATGGAATGTGGCAGACCCTGCCAAGTGACCGGGTCCTGCACAACAGAGCTTCTGCTAGTGTGCCAGAGTGTGTGGCGGGGTATCCTCAGCAGCCTGGCACCAGCAAGACACTGGGGTGACTGGACTCCTCCATAGCCATTTCTGGGGAGCAGGCTTCTCCTCCATACTTGGTGAACAGGCCAGTCCTCTCCACACAGCTTGGGCTTGGTGGCACAGGTGGTGGAAAATGGGCTTTTGAGGTTTTTACCCAGCCCCGTAGAAGGCCTGCCTTCCTCAGCCAGCAGGCCTGCAGGGACCCAGAGGGGCCTGCCCTGCGTCACGCCTGGCTCCTTTGCAGACCCTAGCTTGAAGACCGAGTTCCCACCCTCCCACCACTGGTCCTGGTCCCTCCCTCCACAGGATGAGTGCCCGTGGAGGCCAGGGGCCAGGGACCCAGGATGTGGGGAGGGTGTGGCCTTCTGACAGGGTCTGCAGTGACGTGCCTGTCAGCCTGGGCCACCAGCCAGGAAGCTCTCCTCCATAAGCAAGGGTGTGTCTCCCTCCAGGAAAGGAGGCCCTGCCCCACGCTCTGAGGAGGAGGAAGGACCTTCTACAGAGACTCTGGGTAAGCCTGTGCACCTCCCCATGGTCCACGGCAGAGGGGCTGGCTTCCACACACAGACCCAGCATGTCCGAGAGGCCCTTCTGGGTGGTTTTAAACTGTAGGTGGGAAACTGGACTCTGAGCCCTGAGGAGGTGTGAGCTGCAGGCCCCAGTGGTTCTCGTGGTTCTCGAGGGCTGGGCTGCACACATGGAAGGAGACAGCCTTGAGTCAGGGCCCCGTCCCCACAGGAAGGGGAATGTGAGATGCCCAGGGGCCCCATCCAGGCTACACTGGCCATGCCAGGGGTGTGCTGCGGCAGGGTGACCCTGCACGCCCTGGGCAGGAGGTGGGGCTGCCAGCCTGTGAGGCAGACACCGGCGGTGCCTGAAGAGCACACAGCCCTGCCGGCTGGGAAAGCACAGGCGGAAGCTGACTGCACGTGTGACAGACATCAGAGGAAGCAGACTCCATGGGATGTGCCACACCCACACCAGCCTTTGGCTTCACTTTTCTGTCAGGTCCAGTTCTGGGGCCTCCAACCTGAGCTGAGGGCCTAAGCAGCTGCAGGCTCCACGGGCCCAGGGAAGGTGGGGGACAGGGACGGCCGTGGTGGTGACAGTCCCATGCACCCTGTGTCCACATTGGTCCAAAGCTTCTCTTGTGGCCCATTCTGGGCACAGTAGGCTCTGCTGGTCTTTCAGGAACAGCAGCTTCTAGATGAGCACCCCCAGCCCCGCTGCTGGAGGGGGCCACCCGGAGGAGCCCACAGATCAGCCCTGTACCCAGAAGTGCCTCCCGTGGGCATCTACCAGGCTGCGTCTCCACCCCTGCAGGCCCCTGAGCCTCTGAGGATCATCCAGCACCCGGTAAGGGGGTGAGGGGAAAAGGCAACTGTGGTGGGGGAAGCAGGGGTGGGGGGACATCTGGCAGCTGGGACAGGAGCAGCCACCCCGGGGTTGCCTCATCCACAGAGCCAGGGCTAGCGACGGTGGCTGCAGAGCAGGTTTACATTTTAAATGTGGTACCAGGGACCCTCTACCACTGAGCTACATCCCCAGCCCGTTTTTGTTGTTGTTTTATTTTATTTCTAGACCAGGTCTGGCTAAGTTTCCCAGGCTGGCCTTGAATTGGTGACCCCCTGCCTCGGCCTTACAAGTAGCTGGGATCACAACTGTGTGCCACAGTGCGCCTTGTTTTTTTCGGTTTTTGTTTTGTTTTTCCCAAACTGGGGATCAAACCAAGGCCTTTTTCACATGCTAGGCAAGTTTCCCACCACTGAGCTACACTCCTAGCTCCAGTTTTATTTATTTTCTTAATGTTTATGAAAAAATAAAAGAATACTGCTTTGTAACACATCAAAATGATAAGAAATGCACATTTCAGTGTTGGTGAGTTGTAGGGGCCCGGCTCTGGTCAGCTCTGTCTGCAGTTGCTCCCAAGGTCCCACGGCAGAGTGAGCTCTAGCAACTGAGCCCATGTGGTCCACGAGCCCAGCAAGGTGCGACCTGGCGCACTGTGGGAGAAGCTTGCCAGTCCTTGGCTGAACCACACTTCCTGAAAGTGGGGGAAGAGGGACAAGGTCATGCTGGGTTTTCTGTCTGGAAAAGGATTAAAACAGGTGTTTCTGGTGTTCACTAAAAAATGCCGTACATTTATTTTCACTCAGAAGAGAAACCAGAGGTTATCTGCACAAGTTCCACACATGTCTACAGTTTATGACAGAGTTGGAGTAACTGGCCAGCTTGGTATCCATGCCAGGATAGGCAGGGCGCCAGGACAGGAGGTGAACAGCCACTCAACACCCAGGTCTGCCCAAGAATCCCAACACCTCAGTCATGAGGGGGTCAATGCAAAGGAAAGCCACAGTGAACTACCTCGGTGCCCCATTAAAGTAGCTGAATTTGAAAAGACTGACCATGCCAAGTGTCAGATGCATCTGTGAAAGCAGAATTAATGAAACCAGGCATTAGCTCACCCTGCTCATGACAAGTAATGAGGGAATCATCAAAAGCATACATTCTGCCAGGTGTGGTGGACAAGCACCTATTAATCCCAGCAATGCGCAAGACTGAGGCAGGGGATTGCAAATTTGACACCAGCCTGGGTAACTCAGAGAGGGCCTCAGCAACTTAGTGAGGCTATTAAAAAAAATATATATATATATATATATACATATATACATGAAAAAATGGGGGGCTGGAGGTGTAGCTCAGTGGTAAAGTACCCCTGGGTTCTATTTCCAGTACCACAAAAGAAGAAAATGTCAAAAACTTACATCCTAAGTATACCCAGACTCATTCACTCAAATACAATGGATGGATAAATGGGTGGATGGAAGAGTGGATGGGTAGATGGATGGATTCGTGGGTGGAAGAATGGATGAAAGAATGGGTGGATGGAAGAGTGCGTGGATAGGCGGAGGAATGAGTGGAAGAATGGATGAGTAGATGGAGATGAGGGGACGGGTGAAGGAATGGGTGGGTGCTGTAGGACACTGTCTCCAAGGAGGAATTCAGGTGGCAAATCACCTTCTTAGGTTCCCCAGCCTCCTGCCACCATCATTCAGCAGCTCCCTCAGCAGCCACTCATCACACAGATTCCTGCTCCTCAGGCCTTTCCCACTCAAAGGTCAGGAAGCATTAAAGAAGGTGAGTGATGTGTGTTAATATTGCTATGGGTTTATGAAACTGTCTACTGAAAGAGAAAACATTTGTGCAACCAGGACAGTCATTTAGAGTCAGCTTCTGGCTACTGAACATGAAAATAATTTTAACTTTAAGAAATCCATTATAGAATATGTGCTTAGCATATGCAAAGCCCTGGGTTCAATCCCCAGCACTGTTAAAAAAAAAAAAAGAAAGAAAGAAAGAAACAAAGAAATCCTTCTGTAAAGGATATCTCTGAGCTCCAAGGAAGAAAACTAAAAGCCTAAGACAGAGCAGTGGACTAGGAGTTAGAACAGAGTGCCAACCCCAACTCTCCCTTGTTAGCTGCATGTAAGGCCTGGTCAAGCTGCTTCTTGTAAAGTAACCTAAATACTTGATATTCAAAACAACCTTATTGGGGTGACAAATAATAAGTTGCACCTTTTTTTAAATTTTAAATTTTTTCTTTTTATTGGTGCAGAGATGGAACCAGGGTCTCAGGCATATGCTCTGCTGCGGAGCTCACCATCAGCCCCTCCTTGAAACTGACAGGCCAGTTAGTTACGTGTTCACATGGCGATGGGCACGTGGGTTGTTGTTTTCCTGGTTCCAGCTATTGTGGGCATTCACGGCCAGCCTCTCTGTAATTGTGGGTCTTCATTTCTCTAGGGTAAACACCTAGGTGTGAGACAACTGACTCATGCAATAGGGTTATGTTTAACTTCTTAAGAAACTGCCAAACTGTTTCCATAGTGCCTGAACAACTCCAAAGTTTTAGTTCCTCCTCAGCCTCCCCAACCCTTGTGTAGTTTTTTGAGATGGGGTTTTGCTGTGGGCCCAGGCTGACCTTGAACTCTTAAACTCAGGTGATCCTTTTGCCTCAGCTTCTTGAGTACCTGAAACTATAGGCACACACCCCAACAGCTGGTGTGGTCAGTCTTTTCAACTTTAGCTATTTTAATGGGGCACCGAGGTAGTTCACTGTGGCTTTCTTTTGCATTGACCCCCTCATGACTGAGGTGTTGGGATTCTTGGGCAGACCTGGGTGTTGAGTGGCTGTTCACCTCCTGTCCTGGCGCCCTGCCTATCCTGGCATGGATACCAACCTGGCCAGTTACTCTAGCTCTGTCCTACACTGCAGCATTGCCAGACTTGATCCTAGGTTGCCCCATAGCCCACCTCCAGGGTGCCCTTCATGCTGAGACCCACGTGACAATGCCGGGTGTGATAGGGCACAGCTGGGTGTCCACAGTGCAGCCCTGTTTCCTATGAAGATTTTTTTCTCCAGATGAACTTTAATGATAGTATGTCAGGTTTCAAAAGCAAACCAAGAAAACAGTGTGTGTATGTGCTTGGAGGTTCGAGTACTTCTGTGTCACAAGATAAAGTGTGCCACTCACAGTCAGTGATAAAAAAAATTTAATAAGTAGCTATTTAGAGAATGTAAAGTTAGTTACTTTACCCCACTCCTTATGCCAAAACTAATTCCAACTCAATGAAATATTTGAATATAAAAATACAAAATCTCAGGCTGGGGCTGTGGCTCAGTGGTAGAGCACTTGTCTAGCATGCATGAGGCACTGGGTTCGATCTGCAGCACTACAAAAAAATACTAAATAAACAAAATCTCGAAAGTACTTGTACTATTTAAGTTATATTTTAAAAAAATAAACTCACAAAAACAGATGCTAGTGTGACTGGCTTCACCCAGAAAGCACCCGTCTGGCTCCCCTGTGCTGTTGCCCCTCTGCACCATCAAGGGTGTTGTGTCTCCCTCAGCCCAGCCTCCCACTGCCAGGAGACAAGTTCACTGCCCTGGCTGCTCGCTTTCCTTCCAGTGGCTTTATTCCACCACTTCTTTTTTTCTCTACCAAGAATTGAACCCAGGGGTGCTTAACCACTGAGCCACACCCCCAGCCCTTTTTTATTTTGACTTTTTGTGTGAGTGTGTGTGTGTGTGTGTGGTGCTGGGGATTGAACCCATGGCCTTGTGCATATGAGGCAAGCACTCTACCAACTGAGCTATATCCCTAGCCCCATTATTTTTTATTTTGAGACAGGGTCTTGCTAAGTTGCTCAGAGCCTGGCTAAGTTGCTAAAACTGCCTTTGAACTTTCAATCTTCCTGCTTTAGCCTCCTGAGCCACTGGGAGTACAGGTGTGTGCTATTGCACTTGGCTAAAAATGATTTTTAAAACTATGGTAAAAACATATGAGATTAATTTTTCCATCTTAGCCAGTCAAGGGGCATGCAGATCAGTAGTGTGGAACTCCACTCTTGTACTGCAGTATCCCTGCCTTGAGCCCAGCTCTGCCTGCTGTGTCTGCGAGTTACACTGCTCTAGAGGGATCCTCTCAGTGGAGCCACACAGTGCTCATCCTTCAAAACTAGCTTCTTTGGCTGAGGATAATGTCCTCAAGTCTCATCCGTGTTGTAGCCAGTGACAGGCTGGATTTCCATTGTGTGACGACCACGTTTTCTTTACCTATTCATCCTCATGGATGAACATTTGGGTTGCTTCCAAGTTGTCTCAGATTTTAACAAGCCCATCTGCAAAGTTTGTTGTTGTTGTTTTTTGTTTGTTTTGCTGTGTAAAAAACACATTTGCAAGCTTTGGGGATGAGGATGTGGGCCTCTCACCCACACTTTTACATCATTTTCTTTTCTGTGTTGTGAAGCCAGTGACACTGTCCTTTCCAGTGGATGTGCGCTGTTTCACATCACTGGTGGTGGACATGCACACTGGACAACCACTGGTGGTGGACATGCACACTGGACAACCACTGGTGGTGGACATACACACTGGACATGCCCATTTCTGGGTGGTGCAGGTCTAGTAATAAGACGGAAGTGTCAGGAGACACTGTGGTTGCAGGCCCACCCTCTCCATGCCATCTTCCACCAGATACGCTTGTTGTCATGGAGCTGCGTTCTCCAGTCTCGTCCTTTGTAGTCAGTTTCTTTCTTGTCTCCACCCACTGGAGGTCATGAAAAATGTTTTGTGTTTTCTTCTGTCACTTGGCCTGTGGCTGATGTTAGATTTATAGCCTATCTGAAATAGCATTTTGTGTGTGCTGTGATTTAGAGACCCACCTTATTATTTTGCCAAGGACAACAACTGGACCCTGGGCTATGTACGGACACTTTTGTGTGTCCCCTTTGTTAGAGGCAGGTGACACCAGCCTGGGCCTCTCTCTGGACCCTCTTCAGGCCCTTTGTATAGTTGTATGATCTTTATATACTGGATTCCATTGAGGGAACCCTAGGGGGTACTAGGGAAGCCACTCTCCTTGGGCACTTGCTTCTGCTGCTGTTGGGTGGGGGCTGGACCCTCCCCGGGCCTCAGAGGACTTCTTGGAGCCTTTGCTCCATGGGGCTGTTACTCTCCTCTTCTTAGCTGTGTCTTGTAGGGACCAGGGTTCCCTCCCATAGCTGTGTTGCCACAGGGGTCTGGCTCTTTTCCACCTGGCTTCCAGGCCTTTCTGGCCCCAGCTCCTGAGTACTCCTCCTGTCCAAGCCCCACCCCAGCCACTCTAAGCTTGGAGATGTTTGGCTGGGAGACCCTAGGTGTGTCCCTTCAGCAAAGCTGAAGCTCTAGCACAAGGCATGGACCCTCGCTGTGGGAAGAAACAGTGTTTGCCCACCACATTGTCAAACGTGAACTTGCTGCCTGGTCCCCTGCTGGTGAGCACGTCAGTTTCCTGTGCTGTGCTAATAAACCACCACAAGTTGGTAATGTTAACAGAACAGTCTTCCCCTCACTGTCTGGAGGCTAGACCTCAAAAATCCAGGTGCAGGTAGGCTGTGCTTCCTCCACTCCTGGTGGCTGTAGGCGTTGCTCTGGGTGTCCCTCCAGTGTCTGTGTTCCCAGGTGGCCTCCACCCTACGTCTGGGTCTCCTCCTCCGTCTGCTCTAACCATCCTCTTCCGTTATTGTTATTTTGGTGTACTGGTGATTGCACCTGGGGGCTACATGCCCCAGCTCCTTATATTTATTTTTATTTTGTATTTGTTTGGTACTGTTCCACTTTTTTTTAGTAATGAACCCAGGGGTTCTTTACCACTGAGCTCTGTTTTTTTTTTTTTTTTTTTTGAGACAGGCTCTCCCTAAATTTCTAAGGCTGGCCTTGAACTTGCTTTCCTGCTTTCCTCCTGCCTCAGGATTACAGGTGTACATCAACACATCCAGCTCCCCTCTCATTATAAAAACACTTTCACTGGATTTAGGGACCACCTGAGTAATCCAGGATGATCTCCTTGATTCAAAATCTTCAAGTGTATCCACTAACACCATTTTTCCAAGAAGGATCACCTTCAGAGGTCTTGTGGAGTAGGACAGGGATACACCACACACACATAGTTGGGGTGACCACACAACCACTGGTGGCACTGAGACGAAATGCACAGCCCCTCATGTGGCAAGCTAGGTGCCATCCACAAAACCTTATCCATGCACATCCTCTGACCAGAAGACCCAGATCAGAACACGCCCAGGGACCTGCCCGGGGCACAGGCACACATGCTGGAATGCTCTCTGGTGCTCATGAGGCAGTTTTAACAGTATGAAGCCCTAAAGCTATTGTTTCTGAGGCAGAGCCTATCAGCATGCCCCATCTCTGAGTGGCAGAGCACCCGACTCTGGTCTGTTGTTTCAGACATGGTGGAGATGATGTTGATGCAGAATGCGCAGATGCACCAGATCATCATGCAAAACATGCTACTCAAAGCCCTCCCACCTGCAGCAGGGCCTGGGGGACCACACACCCTGCAGCAGGTAGGCTTAGTGGGACAGGTGCCCAGGGGCCACCTGAGTAGACCCCAGAAGAGTGTGTGCCTGTAGTTCTGGAAGGACCTCTGGGTCTGGGTCTGTAGGTTGGTTGTGAAGTCCACAGTCTCCCTATTCCCACCCCAGGGAGGAATGGGTCCTGCGACTGGGCCCAGAAAGCACCCCTAGCTCTGCTCAGAGCCGGCTCCCCTTCCTGCCCTTGCACTCAAGGCACCAGCTGGGAGCAGGTGCAGGAAGGTGTCCAGGGTAGCTGGGTGTGACCCTGATATGGGCCATGCCCTCTGTGCCAGGACCTGCAGAGGGCACGCCAGGCCATCCTGAGAGCCCAGAGGCAGAGGCCAGCCCCAGTGCACCATCACCACCACTATGCGCCCCCAGTCCCGCTGCAGGCTAGCCCCATGCCTGGCACCCCTGTTGGTTATTCCACGTGGCCTCCAGTGGTCACGGCCACAGCCCTCCCAGCGGCCAACAGCTTCCTGCCCACCATGCGCCATGTGGCTGGCCCCACGTAAGTCTGGAGGGTAAGAGTAGAAGGACCCATAGGGTTTGGGTTGCCTCTCTGCACTCCTTAGCACCTAATGGGCACCCATGCTCAGGCCTGCAGACTGTGGCAGAGGTTTGAAAGGAAGGCGGAAACACTCTGCCATATGCCAGAAAATAGCAGGCCTCAGTCCTAAGTCGCCAGGTCATATGGACCCCCTTCGGGGAGGTAACTGTGGCTGGGGTCTTTGTCCAGCCTAGCAGGACTGGCCCTGGGATTACTCCCACTGGGGGGTTCTGGCACATTTCTCACATGTGACTCCCCCAACCCATAGCAAGTTCCTGTGAGCTAGGCAGGGCAGTGACCACCCAAGGTCACCCTCGTCTTTTCTCTAGGGTGGCAACGGACAGTGAGCTACCCCCACAGGCTCCAGGAATGTGAGCCCCTTGCTCCAGCTTGGTAAGCACCAAGGTCTTTACCCTCCAGCGCCACTGGAAAAACCAGGTGAATGCCTCACCCAGGTGAAACTAAAATTTCGTCCGGAAAGAATTCAAGAAAAACACAGTTCACGGTTCTCAATAGATAAAGATTAATAGCTTTAGCTACATAAAAACCTAAACATTTCCATGAGGGAGACATAAGAAAGTCAAATTGGAGTGGGGGACGCAGCTCAGTGGTAGAGGGCCTGCCCAGCATGCATGAGGACTGCGTCTGAGCCCCAGCGCCACCTCTCACACTAACATGGTGTGGGAAGGCCCGTTTGTCATTCATGTGAAGCAGTCTCCTCCAGTTCCCTTCAAGTTAAGCCCTACACATGTGCATAGGCTGCAGGCAGCACAGATCTGCTCCACGGCTTGCCCATCTCTGCAAATCAAAAGCAAGTGCCTGAAGCTCCTTCTGCAGAGCCGGTGGGGGGATAGCTCCTCTAGTGTGTTCCTCTGGGTCCTGTCACTGGTTCTTATGTGTACATGATACCCGCACGCTTTACAGAAAGCTGTTTGTTACTCTTTTTGGTGGAATTATGTTCCCCTCATGTTTCGATGTTGTTAAAGTCTTGATTTAAGTATTATGGGTCAGTGTTCATTCACTTTCTTTTAGGGTCATTTCCCACTCCCTAAGCTCTTTGCCAGCAGAGTGCCGACATCTGCACCCCGGGGGCCCCTGGTTGGAGCACGATGAGCAGGGCTGACAGCCACACCTGGGCTTCTCTCCTGGCTGCCCTGGCTCTCACTGCCTCTCACTGCACAGCTTCCTGGCAGATGAAAGATCTGACACCCACGGGAACAGACATGTTGACACATCCCCCAGCCAGCTTCTGAGGGTACAGTCCTTTCTCTCAGGCACCTCAGCGCTCTTTTGAATGTGATCCCAAAGACTACTCTTGTTAAAAGCATGGACGGAAAGGCCTGACCTGACCTGTCTTCAGGCCAACTTTCCTTTCCTTTCTCCCCCACCCAGGGCTGACCCCAGGCAAGGCAAATGCTCCAAAACTGAGCCCCAGCTCCAAACCTTTTTATTTTGAGACAGGGTCTCCCCAGGTTGTTCAGGCCGGCCTTGCAGTTGCCATCCTCCTGCCTCGGCCTCTCAAATCACTGGGACTGCAGACATGGCCACCATGCCTGGCATCATGCTGACCTTTTCTTTTTTCTTAAAATATTTTATTAGTTGTTGATGGACCTTTTGTTTTATTTACTTATTTACATATGGTGCTTAGAACCCAGTGCCTCACACATGCTAGGCAAGCACTCTACCACTGAGCCACAACCCCAGCTCCACGCTTTTTCTAATGTCCTTTGTTTTTCTCTCAACATAGTTGTTAACTTGATAAAAGGAAGAAATCTGGCCACATTGGTCGTCTCTGGATGGACTGGCCTTACTGAGTTAACAGGGCCGAATGAGCTTCCTGGCTCTGTGAGCTCTGCTGCTGACCTTGCCTGCGGGAGCACACTAGGGGCAGGAACTCTGCACCTCACCAGGGAAAGGCTGGAGAGCCCAGAAGATCCTGAGGTGGGCTGGAGCTGCAGGGGCGGCCGGAGGACCTGCAGTCTGGCAGGTGGCGCAGGGCTGCTTAAGGCTATGCCTTGCCTGTGCTATGTGAGGGAGGGGCTCACTGTACACACTGATATTCCTGAGAGGCATTGAAGGTGACTCAAAGGGCATGAAAGACCACCACACACATCGCAGGAGCCTCTAGGCACCAGTTCACCTCCACTTCATGCAGCTTTCCTCAGAACCCCAGATGCCCCAGACACTGGTTGGGCTGAACTTGGGATACAAGTGCTTCCTGGAGTAGACAAAAAGGACTGTCCCTCACGGTGTGGCCAGGTTTGGCCACAGCTGTTGACACAGCCACAGTGTACATTTCTGAATTTACATTAGGAGGACACTTGATTGTGTTCTCTGTTAAGACACAGGGTGGGTTTTAAGAAAATATAAAGGGCTAAGATGTGGCTCAGTGGTAGAGCACTTGCCTGACATGTGTGAACATTTAAGGCCTTGGGTTTGATCTCTAGCACTAAAATAAATAAATAAATGCTTCTACCACACCCATCAGGGCCCCAACCCTCTTAGGGTCCCCCAATCTCTTCAAAAGGACTGTGGACCCAAGTTGTGTGGCTGCTTCTATTGATCTGTGTTGTCAGACGTTAAACTGAGAGCAATCTTAACTGTCAGTAGTCAGGCACAGGCAGCAGTGGCTGCAGAACCAGGGCAGGCCAACTCCACATCCAGGGAGCCAGGGGACAATCCAGGCTAAGAAAGGTAGAGTTGAGGGGAAAACGTTACAAACACTGGATGCCACGGGAATCAAATGCATGCTCAGAAGTCAAGCAAGGCAAGGCAAACTTTACTTCTGCAGAAAGGCGTGCTACCAAAGAGAATCTGACAGCAAGCACCCCTGGGTGGGCAGTCGGCCTGCTTTTATCTCTAATGCAGCACTGCCCTGGCTCTGATAGGAGCAGCTCAGGGTTACAATCTTCATGATTAGCTAGCTTTAAAATTGAGTGGGAAAAGTGAAGGGCTATAGTTGAAATGGCCACAATTGGATCTTACATCCCCATTAAGGCTAAATACTATATTCTGAAAATGGACCACTGAACTTTCTCACAGAAAGGCACTCTGTGCTTCTGGATCATTTAATGGGAGACACAAGAATTAGGATCATAGAATCACCAGGTTTCATGGTTAAAAGCCTTCAAGAGGCTACATGTTACCGCCATGAGATCCATAGTCCCACTTAGCCTATTGAGCCATTTGGCAGAGTAGGAACCTGGGAGGGGCCAGGTTCAAAAACCCTGCCTGTGCAAGCTCTGGAACTCCAGGTCTCTTTCAATTTTCAGAGGATAAATAGGAAATACCAACCAAGGGAGATTTCCTGCAGAAGGATGTTGGTGCTTCATCTCCTGGAGGGAATAGAGCAGGCATTGGGCAGGTGTGGTGGTGGGGAGCCATGGCCCACCAGCTTCCTCACCTCCACCCTTGTATGCCATGTGGTCCCGGGCAGCTGAGGCCTTGGGGGAGATGAGAGGGAGGAGCCTCTGTGTCGGTGGCATCCATTCAGGTCAAGTATGGTGCACCTATTGCTGGCAGGCCACCCTTGTCCTAGTCACTCTTCTCAGGGGTAGCAAGGCTCAGGCACAGAGATCCTGAGGGTGAGACTCCAGCGCTCTCCAGCCTGTGTGTCTGCAGGAGCTGTCCCTAGGAAGGAGGAAGCATGGGTGCTCTGGGCGGTGGTGTCCACTGCCAGGCAGGCTGCAGGGGTAGACAAAGCTTTTTCACCAAAGCTCTTCAGTTCTTCAGAACTTTAGGTCTTCAGGCAGACCCTAAAGAAGCATATGGGGTTTACCATTCCCTCCCTCCACTGTAAAGGCTTACGACTATTCTGCTTAGTAAGAAAACAATCTGCTGTGTCCTAAACAAAGGGATAGATACTTCTCTGTTAGTTCAAGAAACCAAGTTCCACTCCTAGAATTTAGCCTCAGCATGGGCTGGCGCCTCTGTGGCCCCCCAAGCACAGCACGACCAGTACAGCTGCAGTCTGGAGCTCCTTGATTCTAGGTACACCCCTCCAACAAGTCCTGGAACCTGGAGCCTCCGCTGAATCAGAAGAGGCCCTTGCTCAGGGGCTGGAGCCTTGCTCCTGTTCGACGCCCCAACTCCTCCAGCACTTGCTCCTCCTGGCGGTACATCTGGAAGACAGGAACCCTGGCTAGCTGGCCAGCCTCCAGGACCCTCACACCACCTCCCTGACTCTGCCCAGGAGTCACCTTCTGGGGAAGCCCCTCCCTGCAGCCCTTGGTAGGCAAAGACCTAGCAGGCCAGGCCTCACAGCTCCCTCACAGACCCAAGGGCAGCACTGAGTTCTGTGCTCCTTAGTGCAGAACTTGCCAGCAAAGCTAAAGAGCAGCCCTAGAGCAGGGAATGTGAAAGGGGTGGGACAAGGGAGGGGTGGTAAGAGGCAGTAGAGGGCCAGGGCAAGGTCTGGTGGTGGCAATGGGGTGGCAGCAGGGAATGTGTGGGAGGCTGGGGGAGGAGCCAGGGTGGACCTAGCCAGCAGATGCTATGCAAGGGCTCAACCACTGAGCTATATCCCTGCCCAGGGGGACTTTTTATCTTTTTTTTTCCATATATTTTTTAGTTGTAGATGGACACAATGCCTTTTAATTATTAATTTTATGTGGTGCTGAGGATCAAACCCAGTGCCTCACATGTGCTAGGCAACCTCTCCACCACTAAACCACAACCTCAGCCCAGCTTTTATCTTACTGAAAAATGTTTTTTCAAGTCTTTGATGGTCTGGGGATATAGCTCAGTTGGTAGAGTGCTTGCCTCAAGTCTTTGAAAGGAGACTCTTTGCTTACAAACTTAACCTGAGTCAACTGGTGCTCAGACCAGCACGGAGCTTCATAAATGCGGTGCCCACCCATGCCCTCAATTCACTTTACAGCAGGGTCTCAATCCCTACTAAATGCAGTTTCCCACAGACAGCTATCTTCAATTTCTAAGATCTCTAAACGATGAGCTTTCCAGGCGCAGCAGTTACAAATGCTTAGGTGGATTTAATTTTCAAAAGTTTTTTTTTTTTAAATAAAGCGCAGTCAAGAGCTGGGTGTGGTGGCATGTGCCTGTAATCCCAGTGGCTCTGTTGGGAGGCTCCTGAAAAGCCAGCCTCAGCAACGACAGGCCCTAGGCAACTCAGTAAAAAAATACAAATTAGGGCTGAGGATGTGACCCAGCAGGGGTCAAGTGCCCTGAATTCAACCCCCAGATCCCAAAAAAAAAAGCAGAGTGGGCTGCCTGAGACCATCGGTGTGTGTGGGTATGTGGGTGCAATGCAGGAGCAAGGCCTGGGCCTCTGCCATCTCCTACCTCCTGCCACTCATCCTCCGAGCTGTGTGTGAAGCCTAGAAGGTGACAGAGTCCATGGGTGGCTGTGACCTGTTGGAATAATTAAAAACCCACTCAGGGAAGGATCCAATGGGAAACTGCTCCTTCAGGATCACCCCAGCCTCATAGACTGCCCTTGGTAAGACCCAGCTGTCCTGTGCCATGAATGTAGGTGGCAGCTCTGAGCAGGAATTGAAGCACCCAGCCCAAGTTCCTCCTGTTTTTGGTTTGTTTTGTGGAGGTTGAACTCCACCACTGAGTTTACATTCCCAGTTCTTATCATTTATTTTTGAGACAGGTCTTGCTAGGTTGCTTGCCTCCAACTGGCCATCCTCCTGCCTTAGCCTCTAGAGTAGCTGAGATTACAAGTATGTGCCACCATGCCCAGTTCTCTCCTATTTTGAATGGGAACAACCCACCAAACTCACACCAGAAATATGAGTGCTACTGGGAGCTAGGCACAGGGCTGGGGAGGGGCAATCAGGACTCAACTATTCACCTTTGGGAGCAGCAGCATTGATGATGGGACAGGATTAGAGTTTAGCAGCCTGGCTCTGTGGTGTCATCTGCAGCTTGGGAGGCTGAGGCAGAATGTCGTTTGAAACCATGAGTCTGATACCAGCCTGCGCAACATAGTGAGCCAGACCTCAGTTTTAAAAAGTAAGTACACTGGGCATGATG